ACTTTAAAATCCTTGTTCAGGGACCATCATATGGAGTAATGGTTACATCACTGGACTCCCATGTAGTTGACTGCAGTTCGAGTCCCAGACCTGGAGGCTTAAAACTCACATCAGGTGCATGTACAATGCATGCCCAAAATCCCTAGAAGAGAATGGAGAAGAAGGGATTCTGGCAGAGCCATCTGCCTGGGGGGGGGGGTGATTTCTTGTTTTCTGTCTCTCCGTCTCTCTCTCTAGGTAAGCGCACATGTCCTACAGCAACAACCCCTCAAAAAAAAAAAAAAAAAAAATCCTTGTTCACAAAAATTAACATGTATAGATTCTATTACCTCTCATTTTTGCTATACTTTACAATTTCTCAACATATTTTGATTTTAAATTTGAAACTAGGCATGTTACATTATATGGTATAACAACTCTGGTTCCTTTTTAATCTATTTTCTTCCACAATATCTAGCTATTGATATCTTTGGCTCAGTTTTCTATTTTATTGTTATTTATTTTGCCTCCTGGGGAGTACCCATGTGTCTGTGTATCTTATGGTTGGCCAAGCATTTAATAGAGAATTTGCTTAAATTCCCTGAGTCAACAAAGGTGGTAAACCCTTTTTTAAAATATGGACATTAGGGGCTGGTAGGTGGCATGGTGGCTAAGAGCACTGCACTCCCACATGGCCGACTGAGGTTCAAATACCAGACCTGACGGCTCACGCTCTCGCTCGCTCGCTCTCTCTCTCTCTCCCCCCCCCACCCCCCAGCGCCTCTCTCTCACTCTACTCTGTCCCTCTCTGGTCAAATTTAAATCAATCAATCAATAAAGTTAAATAAAGTAATCCTTTTAAAATAAATAAAAGACATTCAAGGTCACACTATTTTCAAGTCTACCCAGAGTTTTCATTCCCATGTACTCTTTCATGCAAGAAGCCTCAGATAATCATCACATAGGGCTGAAAGTGCTGAAAGTGTCACTGCCCTTGAAATTCAGGTGCCTCAAGATATAAAATTCCGGGAACCAGCAGTTAGCGTAATGGCTATGTCGCTGGACTCCCACATAGTCGACCGCGGTTCGCGTCCCAGACCCAGTGGCTTAAAACTCACGCCGGGTGCGTGTACGTGTGTGCCCAAGATCCCGAGAGGAGAATGGAGGAGAAGGGATTGTGATGTGACCATCCCCTCTGGGGGGTGATTTCTCGCTTTCTGTCTCTATGTCTCTCTCTGTCTGGCAAGCGCACGTGCCCTATAGCAAAAACCTCTCCAAAAAAAAAAAAAAGATATAAAATTCCAAAGACAATGCTAATGAGCATGGACAACAGTACCCCTTCAAGCTGAGTATCTTCCAACCACAGCATGAAAGGTATCAGTTCTCACAACCTTCCTTATCCTCAAATTACATCAATACCAACCAAACGTGGAAGGGGGAAAGCACAGAGTGGGGTGGCAGCAGCTGCAGGTATGACTGTCTCAGGTTCCCACCATTATTATGCAACATTTAGGAGTTCTCAAGCCTAAACACTTTTCAGAATGCTGTATGCCTTTGGATGAGCATTGCAAAAGTTGTTTTGGGGGCCTTGGTGCTACATCACAAACTCCCATCATTCTTAAGTGTGTTTATTTCTGTTCCACTGCTACAGATTTATAACCCACTTAAAGAATCCATATTACTTTTTTTTTAAAACGTTTTTGACATAGGGCACAAGTACTCACGAAGAGAAAGAGAGAGACAGTGAAAGGGAAAGTGAGAAATCACTCCCCAAGAGGGATGGCCACACCATAATCCCTTCTCCATTCTCCTCTTGGGATTTTGGGCACATGAATTTCAAGCCACCAGGTCCAGGACTAAAACTACAGTCAGCCATGTGGGAGTCCAGCACCTTAACTACCACACCACTTACTGCCCACCCCGCCACCCATGTTGCTCTTCTAACACTGCCGCAACTTCTTTTTCCTTAAGATCTAGCCTGGGTTGTTCCTTCTCTATGAGCCTTTTCCCAGTCATTCATGCATACTGATCACTATCTTCTCTGAATTCCTATTATACATCATTAATTCATAATTCTTTACTAAGTGTTGTGCCTTTCTTTTCAGCCACATTCTTAAATCTTTGGGAAAGTAATTGGATTTTCATGCTTGTAAATTCCTTTTTTTTGAGAGTTTTTTCTTTGTTTGTTTGTTTGGTTTTTGCTATAGGTTTTTTGCGTCACCAGAAAGACAGAGAAAGACAGAAAGACGGAAAGCGAGAAATCACCCCCCAGGGGGGATGGCCATGCCGCAATCCCTTCTCCTCCATTCTCCTCTCGGGATCCTGGACATGCATGCACACACACACCCAGTGAGAGTTTATGTCACCGAGTCTGGGACTCAAACCGCAGTCGACTACATGGGAGTCCAGTGACATAGCCATTACAATAACTGCTGGTCCCTATGCTTGTAAATTCTGAAAGGTGTTATTATACTTGAACGAATTTGCCTTGTAGCCATGAGTCAAACTATATCCAAAGGAAGAAATGATTGAGACAACATTAGATCTATGCAATATCACTATCACATTCTACCCTTCCAATGTCCCATGATCCATGGACAAAAAGTTATATACCAGACTGCTAGTTATCAACCTAATATACATTTTGATATTCCTTACTAAAAAAACTATAATCACTGTCCAGCTTTCCTTGCAGTTAGAAGTCTAAATTGAGGAGATGCACTAACTGAAAAGGCAGGCTCCATCTAGAGATCATTAGGGAAAGGATTAGGAGGATGTCAGAGCTGGAAAGAATCTAGGTCACTAACAACACCAAGGGAAACTTCACTAGCCCTTGAGTGTCTGTCCTAGGCTTCGACATACAGGATTTTTGTACACCACTGTGATTTTATTAGATATAACCTTTAACTGGGATTATGTAATAAGGTGGTCCTTCGAAAACTGACACCTAATTCTCTAAAAGCTTTGGAAAAGAATAGTATTCCCTTTTAATACATGGAGAAAATAGAGAAATTATCTGATTCGTGAGTGATAATTCATCATCTTGGACCACAATCCTCTCATTGTCACAAATGCAGTCATCAAGGAATTAAAAGCCTGCTTGCTTGAGTGTGAATCCATAGCATCATTATGTGATTTCAGTGACTCTGTTCTTAGAGGGATTTTTGGCTTTTGTTTAGTTTTGGTTTCTTTTTGCTAAATCTCTTCTTCTCCAGTCTCCTTTAGGATTTTGGGCATACACACACACACACACACACACACACACACACACACACACATGTACACACCCAGCATGATTTTCAGGCCGCCAGGTCCAGGACTCAAACTGCACATCCAGCTGGGGATCCAGCACCTTAACCTCCATGCCTCCTGCTGGCCCCAGTGACACAGGTTTTCTTTTTTTTTGGAGAGGTTTTTTTCGCTATAGGGTGCGTGCGCTTGCCAGACAGAGAGAGACATAGAGACAGAAAGCGAGAAATCACCCCCCCAGGGGGGATGGCCACGCCGCAATCCCTTCTCCTCCATTCTCCTCTCGGGATCTTGGGCACGCACGCACACGCACCCGGCATGAGTTTTAAGTCATCGGGTCCGGGAAGCAACCCGCAGTCGACTATGTGGGAGTCCAGCAACACAGCCATTATGCTAACTGCTGGTTCCCGACACAGGTTTTCTAAACCATATTTCTTCTCAGTATTATAACAAGAAATAAAAAAGAAAATGTATTTAACACCTTTAGAACAGTGCTAAGCACATGCTAGCACACTAGTAAATTTTACTTTCCGTTCATAATAAGTATAATATGAAGTTGTCATTGTTTTTATAAATAATAGTAATTTTCATCCACTGTAAATAGGCTATCATAGGGACCAGCAAGTGGCATGGTGGTTAGGGCAATGGACTCCCACAAGGATGAATACAGTTCAAGTACTGGACCCAGCAAGTTGAAAAAGCATACTAGGTGCTTGTGTATGCATGCTTACAGTCCTGAGAGGAGAGGCAAATGGAGGAGAAGGGAGTGTGGCATGGCCATTCCCCCTGGGAGTAATTTCTCATTTTCCCTTTTACTTTCTCTTTGTCTCTCTACAGTGAATGCATGTCTCCTATGGCAAAAATAAATAAATAAATACATAAATAAGGATATTGTAAAAGTGACTACACTAGAAACACAGATATTAAAAGTCATTTTTCGGGACCAGCAGTTAGCGTAATGGCTGTGTTGCTGGACTCCCATGTAGTCGACGGTGGTTCACGTCCCAGAACCAGTGGCTTAAACTCACGCCAGGCGTGTGTGCAAGCGTGCCCAAGATCCTGAGAGGAGAATGACGGAGAAGGGATTGTGATTCTGTGCATGGCCATCCCCCCAGGGGGTGATTTCTCGTTTTCTGACTCTGTCTCAATTTGTCTTTCTGGCAAGCACACACGCCCTATAGCAAAAACCTCTCCAAAAAAAAAAAAATGGTCATTTTTCTCTGTGATGCTAATCTTCTACTTCAGGACTATATTCTGATCTATAACTGGCTTTCTATCGTCTCCTACTATAACCATGTACATGAAAAAATAGCAAGAAGAGGGACCAGCAGATGGCATAAAGGTTAGATCGCTGGACTGTCACGTATCTGACCATGGTTTGAGTCCCAGACCCCACAGCTTAAAACTCATGCCGGGCACATGTGCGTATATGCTGAAAATCCCAAGAGGAGACTTAAGGAGAAGGAATTGCAGTGTGGCCATCCTCCCTGGGGGAGTAATTTCTGGCTTTCTGGCTTTCTGTCTTCCTCTCCAGCAAGCACACATGCCCTATAGCAAAAATCTCTCTTAAAAAAAAAAAAAATAGTAAGAAGACATATAAGTTTAGTGTCTGTGTCACACAATATCATAAATATTTTTTACTCTATACTTTTAGTCCTTTGTCTTTTATCTTGTCAGAATTTAGACTTAAGTCTATGAAGATATTAAAGCATCAAAGCTCCCCTTATGAGATAATAATACGTATTTGTAATACATGATTCAAATATCCTTACCCAGAAGATCCAATGCTCTTACAAACACCAAGCAGGGGTCTTTTTTCAGCAAAGTTATCACACTTCTGAGCACCTGACAGAGAGCATAAAAGAAAATGTAAACTTTAAGAATTACTCTTGGATATCTCTAAATATTTTTATACTTTCATAATATTTATAATTGAAAAGATGGAAAGGTAGTTACTGTAAAATAGTATAATGTATATACTTAATTAAACAAATTTAACTACTAAATACATGTATAATTGTTAAAGAAATAGATGCAGCTTTTTTTAGAGAAGTTTTTTTTCATTGGCACCAGTTTCAATCTTACACACCTTCTCCAGGAGATCAGAGAACAACTCCCACCATACCAACTAGTTATTCAGTAGTGGTATAATCTTGTTATCAAACCTAATAAAGACTGGGGCTAGTAGAAAGCATAGTGGTTAAGGTGCTGGACTCTGCAGTTCAAGTCTCAGATGCAGAGGCTTGAAAATCATGCTGGCACATGTACATGTGAGCCCAAAATCCCAAGAGAAGAGTGGAGGAGAAGGCCATTCCCCCTGTGAGATGATTTCTCACTTTCCCTTTCTCTGGCAAGCACAACTTGCTATATGACAAAAGTCTTAAAAAGAAAAAAAGAAACTAATAAAAGCAATTCACAACAATAAAATTAGAAAAATTTTAGGCAATTCTCAATATATAAAAATGTAAAAGTTCTAAAAAATTAGTAAACTAAGTAGCAATACAGAAAAATAATCTTAGTAATAGTAACAGTATCACATTATAAAATCTATTAAATTTATCATATTAACATTTCAGCATATGCACGAATGTATTTGATTAAATTCCACATTAAATTATGAATAAAAAGTATTTTAACCCAAAAAAGGAATATCTACAGCAAACTTTTTTTTTTTTTTTAAGAGAGAGATTTTTGCTACAGGGTGCATGCACTTGCCAGAGAGAAAGACACAAATAGAAAGCATGAAATCACTCCACAGGAGAGATGGCCATGCCACAATCCCTTCGCCCCGGGTCACCTCTAATGATTTTGGGCACACATGCATAAGTGCCCAACGTGCATTTTAAATCACCGGGTCCGGGACTCAAACCATGGTCAACTACATGGGAGTCCAGCAACATAACCATTACGCCATCTGCTGGTTCCTTACAGCAAGTATAATTAAGAAATTATTCAGTGGACCAGCAGATGGCGTAATAGTTACATCGCTGGACTCCCACGCAAGCAACCCCAATTCATGTCCTGGACCTGGTGGCTTAAACTCACACCAGACAAGTGTGTGTGTGTGCCCAAAATCCTGAGAGGAGCATGGAGAATAAGGGTTTGTGGTGTGGCCATCTCCCTGGGGGTTGATTTCTTACTTTTTTTTCTCTCTCTCTGTCTCTCAGGCAAGCACAAAAACCCTATAGCAAAAAATCTCTCTAAAAGCAAAAAAAGGAAATAAATGGTTCAGAGTATTCACATTATAATACATTTTTTGTTTGTTTGTTTGTTTGTTTGTTTGTTGAGGTTTTTGCCGTAGGGTGCATGTGCTTGCCCAGAAAGACAGAGACAGACAGAAAGATAGAACGTGAGAAATCACCTTCCAGGGTGGATGGCCATGCTGCAATCCCTTCTTCTCCATTCTCCTCTCAGGATCTTGGACATGTACACACACGTGCCCTGCATGAGTTTAAGCCACTGGGTCTGGGACTTGAACTGCAGTCGACTACATGGGAGTCCAGCGACACAGCCATTATGCCAACTGCTGGTCCCCATTATAATCAGTTATACAAGGATATCAAAATTGGTTCTCCCATTCAACCCTATCTATCCTGGAAGTCCTAGCTGACATAATAATAAATGACCTCAACAATATTGCTGGGTAAAAATATCAATATAATACAAACAAAAAGAAAAAACAATAATAATGATGGCAGGAAATACAAATGGCTCTGAACCATATAAGGAGATGCTTAACCTCACATATGAGAGAAATTCCCAAACACAATACTGATATGGGCTAGCCCAACGGTGCAGCAGTTGAGAGCTGTGCACTGGGAGCTGGATCCTACACAGCTGACTGCAATTCAGGCCATAGCCTCAACAGCCTGCAAAACACACAGGGCATGTGTGTATATGTGCCCACAATTCTGAAAAGAGAATTGTGAAATGATGACACTCTGTTAGGGAATTCTTTCTCTGTGTGATTGTCTCTCTCTCTGGAAACCACATGTGGCTTCTGGCAATAAAAAAAAATTTTTTTTTAAATGTAAAAAAAACATAAAACATTACAATGATAATGGTATTAAAGGAGTTTAGGACATACTACTCCAAAATGTATAACTTTGGCATACTGATTACTTTGAGCTAATGGTCCTTGAAAAACAGCAGATTCAAGAAGGGGAACAGCAGGTAGCGTGGTGGCTAAGGTGCTGGACTCCCACATGGCCAACTATGGTTCAAGCACTGAACCTGAAGGCTTGAAAATCAAGCTGCTGGATGTGAATATGCAAGCCCAAAATCCCAAGAGGAAAATGGAGAAGAAATTGTGGTGTGGCCATTTTTCATTTCCTTCCCTCTCACTGTCTCTCTCCAGCTACTACATGCACCTTATGACCAAAAAAAGGGAGGGGGGCATTGATCTCCCTTTGATTCCTGAAAGCAGGAAAAGAACTTTCTGATGTGAAAGATGCCCTCCTGATATCAGCAAGGAAGAATCAATCTAATCATCACTAATGGAGAGTCAAGGATGAGAGAAATCTGTAAAAACAAACTCTTATTTCTTAGGTATTTTTCCACAAATGCCACTCCTTATTCAATCTAATATATATGTATTTAGACCTTGCCACTTCTTGTGTCTTCATTTTTTTGTGAGGACTTCCATGCATGTAAAGTGTTATTACATAAAATTTTAATGCTTTTCTTTTGTTAATCTGTCTTATGTCAGTGGCTCAGGCCCAAAGTTTAAAGAAATTTTTTCCTCGCCTACAAAACTACTGTTATACATTTAAAATTCCAGGGGCCAGCAGGTAGCATGGTGATTAAGGTGATGGATTCCCACGTGGTCGGCAATGGTTCAAGTCCCAAACCCGGCGGCTTGAAAATAACAACAAATAGTGGGACCAGCAGTTGGCATAATGGCTATGTCACTGGACTCCCATGTAGTCGACCGCAGTTCAAGTCTCAGACCCAATGGCTTAAACTCACGCTGGGTGCGTATGCATGCGTGCCCAAGAACCCAAGAGGAGAATGGAAGAGAAGGGATTGTGGTGTGGCCATCTCCCCTGGGGGGAGGGGGTGATTTCTCACTTTCTGTCTCTCTTTATCTTTCTAGCGAGCACAAGTGCCCTATAGCAAAAACCTCTTAAAAAAAAAAAAAAAAGAAGTTAATTAGTCCAAAGCCCACAATGATTTTATTCCAAATTAATCATCACTGAATATCATTCGTACAAGGTTAATTCTCTACCCCTACATGTTTCGCCTCCAAGTTTAACAATATCTATTTTCCTTCTACTTCATGGATGTTACAGAGTCTGTATGGTTTGTACCTGTATTATACATACCAATTTGATATTTTGATTAATGAAATGTCGAGTTTTTAAAATGAAAATAATATTGGCCAGAATGGTTTGATTGTTTCACTTTTCTCAAACCTGAACTGCCGAACTTCCCTAGTTTCCACTGAGCTGCTCAGGCGCAGCAGTTCCGCCGACCATGCTCTACAAGTCAGTCAGGCAACACTTACTCACCGCGATTCATGTCCCGGACCCAGGGGCTTAAACTCACACTGAGCGCGTGTGCGTGAGTGCCCAAGATCCCGAGAGGAGAAAGGAACATAAGGGATTGCGGTGTGGCCACCCCCCCAAGGGGTGAGTTCTCGCTTTCTGTCTCTCTGTCTCTATCTTTCTGGTGAGTTCATGAACCCTATAGCAAAAACCACTCAAAATAAATAAATAAAACAAAATCTTAACTGTCATATTTTATTGTGCCCAGATTTAATAAATATTAAATGCAATTCTTAAAGTGCTAGTATAAAAATTCTACAATCCCATGAATGCTGTAGCTGTGAACTTGGTTTCTCAGGCAGTACAATAGTAGCATGAACTCTTCTTGATGCCTAATGGAGTCATCACCCTCCCATAATGTAATCCTCCAAATTGCAGCGGATTAACTTTTTATATATAAAATTGTGTGTTTATTTGCATGTGCAATAGAGAGAATGACGTTATACACACCTGTTCTGTAGCATTTAGCAGAATGTACCACGATGATTGAGATGAAAAGCAGCTAACCAAATCCATCAAATATAAAAACTATTTCAATCCTGTTGTAAAGTCCTTTTGTTAAACTCCTCTTATTCTAAATCCTTTTAATTCTGTCCTATAACACTAAAACATTTATAAAAAGCTTAAAATCCTAATAAATCACACAATTAAAATAATGAAAATGGGCTTGCCCACAAGTCACCAACTCCTCTTCTACTCAACAAAATTCAAAACAATTTGCTTGTCAGAAAACGTTAAATAATAGCCCTCACCATAGACACCATTGTAAACTCATTTAAATGAAAGAATTTAAGCTCATAAAACAACCTTAAAGATTTCAAGACATCAAATAAAACAGCTTCTATCTGTGTCAGAAAGCAGATCCAGAGGCAAATAAAAATCCAACTGATGATGAAACATTCCAACTCCGCTCTTTTGATAATGAGAACTATGTCATTCATATAAAGATTTACACAAAATTATGCCAATATTAGTATGTACTGAGAAAATCTTTACTGGAAGAATTCCATTGGACTAGTTTCTCTCTATGAGCTAAACCATTTCTAAGTCTTCCATTTCATTTTCTCTAATATCAAACTTATTTTCATTAGATTTTATTCCATCAGTTTGTCCTTGTCGAGTTTTTTAGATTCTAAGTGACCTTTCATGCAATAGTCAAATTTTGTAGAACTAAATTTTAGCTAGAAAGCTTAGTTGTATAATCAATAAATTTTGTCTCTAAATTTCTCTGTTGGAACTTTCATATGCTACAAAACTGAATTTTTTAAACCAATTTTCCTATAAATAATCTCTATTATA